CCTAAATATGAAGATCGAAAATTAGGATAAAGATCAGTAGGTAGTTGAGCATTGTCCAATTTCCTTGTCAATATTTTATTTTAACTATTAGTGCTATTTTATTCTTCAATTTTAGTGTATCATTGATTTTAATCATCATATTATTTGTTGTTGTAATGTTCTTTTCTTTATTTAACTCAGTAGTCTATCAGAAACATCTTCTTTACTTCTCAAGGAAGGACTAAAATTATTAACACACCCTCCCCAAGCTCTCTTGTACAATTACGTTAGGTATGTTATCTTTGTTATAGTCACGTAAACAAGTTATTTAGGAGCTTTTTTTTTTAATAGATTATGAACATATAAAAAAAAATTATTAAAAAAAAAAAAAACGTTGAATATTCAACTCCGAATTAGCGCTGCATTTTTCTTGAGAAAATGAAGAGAGTAAGCATTATATACGCCGACATAGGCTTTCACTTAAAATTCGGATAACCAATGAAAATACGACATGTGGCCTTAAGCGAATAGAGAGCGGGAAAATAGGTGGGCTCGAGAGCACGTGATTTTTTAATTTTTAGCGCACAGGGAAAATGTTGACTTTTGTGGGGACGTAAAACATAAATCATTGTATAATCGAATCAAAATTAATTATATCAAAAATTGGTAATCATACGAAGTGATTTAAATGTCTTGATTGACTAATGCTTATTCATAATGTTAGAGCTTAAGAGTGAGGAAATGGAATGCCCTTGAAGAATAGGGACCACTTTATTCAAGTAGAGGGTAGCACAACCTAAGAAGTTCCCTTCTGCACACAAACAATGATAAAAAAGAAACTGATAACCGTGATGTTCAAGCCAGCTTGCATGATTAATTTTACGGGATACCTGCCACCTTCCACCAGCGACATGTACCAGATAATAACTCTATCCACCAAGGTAAGGACAGATGGGAAGAAATCACAATGATAATATATATTAATTGAGTATATAAATATGTCTCCGTTTCTCTATTGGTATTCCAATAATGGAAGCCATAATTGTTACAACTTGCAAAAACTTGAGAATCTCTTCCAACAAAATATATGAAGTGCTGCATAGTTAAATAGTCTGCAGCAAAAGATGATGTTGATCATCACGCGGTAGTCTGGAAAACAAATTCTGAAAAATAAAAACGGACTTTCCAGCTCAAGAAAACTGAATTGAGAAACCATGATCCGTGGTTGAAACCTTCGTTGGGCCAAAATCATCAAAGTCTGAGTCGGAGTTTAGATCTCTATGAAATTCGTCAGGTGAATCATCATTCTCAGAGCTGTGTTTGGAGGGAATCCTCAATTCAGACGATGGGACTGGCAAAGGATCTTCATTTAGATACTTGTCGTGGAGTAATTCCATTGCAGTAGCTCTACTAGCTGGGTCATAACATAGCAACTTTTTGACGAGAAGAATTTCGTCAGTTGACCTATTGGATAGACATGCTTCTAAGCCAATCGGCTTATCTACTTTACCGAATGACATAAGCTTGTAATCAGGAAGATCCGCACAACCAGGCCAGACTTCTTCAGATAAGTTCCCCAGAACACTAAAAATTCTGCCTATTTGATCAATGTCAGCATTTCCAGGAAAAAGTGGCTCCAAACGCAGAACCTCTGCAAAAATACAGCCTAGTGACCACAAATCAATCTCTGGTCCATACCTAGTGGATCCATAGAGTAGCTCAGGTGCCCTGTACCAACGAGTGCCGACACAAGATGTAAGTGGAGGAAAACAATCATGCTCACCATCGTCAACATCATACGAATATGTGCCTGGTAAGAGATCTTCCTCAACATAACTCATGGTTCCTGTAGCTAGACAGGAAGTGTCCCCATCTTGAATATTACTATCTTTATCAGTGTCATCGAAGGGCCTGAATCTGAGCTCATCTGACTCTCCAAGACGGGCTGCTTGAACCATAGATCCTGGATCTTCAATAAATACACCTCCTTCAGAAGACACATCTGATATGTGTTTGAAATGTGATGGACCAGCCACAGTTGCCTGATAAGGAGTGGTCTGTACATACGGCGGTTGATTGTCATTAGCTACAAACCCGGGGGCCAGTAGTATCCTAGCCTGTGTGGAGTAAGAGGAGGCAAAGTCATATGGTTAGAAGGAAAAGAATATTAACCAGAAGTGGACTTGCAAGGAATCTACGCATTTAAGGATGTTCCAGCAGAAGAATAAAAGCACTATGGATTCCCCCACGAAGGTTCTATTCTTGCGAGAGAAAATGTTATGCACATAGAGTTAGAGTGGATCCAACCCGACTTCACTGAGTTCAATAGAACTATTGGTTCTGGCTCGAACTATGTACACATACAAACAACAATAACAACTGCTACACTGCAGTCCAAACAAGCTTAAGGTCTTCTATATGAATCCTAAATGGCCATGTTTCTCCATTTAAACTCTTCTCCGACCAAAATTATACAAATAAGTTCTCTATCGTCTATATTTCTTTTTATTGAAAACATAGGTTCTCTATTTTCTACTAACATATAAATCTCTCACAAGGCTAAAAAGACTACAAGAAAACATGCGATCTAAAGTGACATACTACTATAAATAAAACATATACCCAACTAATTGGTATCACTGGACCTCCACACATCCCAGCAAACTAAAGGAAGCATGACCTTAGTAATATATGAACCACAGGATTAAGGATCTTGTGGTTCTATCAATTAAGAAGTAACATTCAACAATTGATGTTCCCAAACTAGTAGAGCAAAAAAGAGATGCTCAACAGATTCAAAGCTTGAGTTCATAGTAGAGTCAAGCAATAACATTTAATTTAGGCTCCTTCCCTTCCACTGCACGTAGCCACGCTAGCAGGTACTACAAGCCCTCTGTCCCACACACCTAACCAGCTTGTGTTGTTCACCACTTCCATTTAAAGCTCTCATTTGTTGAAGCAGAGCATAGTGCACTTTAGGCGCTAAGCAAGAAACATCCATACTTGTATAGATTCATATCTTTCACTAAGTCAACATGGATTCCATAATATTGCAACAAAAAGGAAATGTACAAATACATAATAAGATCATACTCATTCTAAACCTACTAATCTAGCAATCCTATTTACTGGATTCGCCTTTGTATTAAAGCTACTAACTCGAACAAGGAGTATAGTGACTGGACACCTCAAAGGATATCTTTTCGAGCTATATACTCCAACTCTCCTTAGCTGTAAATTCTCTTATGCTTTGCAATCAAAATTCTACTAATAAGAAATGAAAATTCGAAGAGGTTTACATGTTAAAGTTTCCATCTTGACGAGCTTTATGCCTAGAGAAAGCCTGTCTGTAAGCTCAAATGAATCAGAAATACTCTCAAAAAAGGGCACAAATATCCGATTGATGCATAGTAAAAAATACACCTGAAGTATCATATTTTTGCGAGTTTTCCCCTTGAACCATCAAAACTACTTTTAATTGATGGATTAATTTGATATTGTTGAACTTAAAAAAACAGAAAGTAATGAGCACCTGTCCAAAATCAGCCAATTTGAGGATCCCATCAGAAGAAATCAACAAATTCGAAGGCTTCAAATCTCTATGTACAATCGAATTCCGGTGACAAGCATCAACTCCACTTAAAATCTGCATCATCCATCTCTTAATCTCCCCTAAACTCAATCCCTTTTCCCATTTCTTCGCTTCCTTAATAAGACAATCCAAATCTGTATGCAAATACTCCAATACAAGCACCGCATCTTCATCCTCCCTCCAGAAATACTCATGTAAAACGACGACGTTTGGACAATGCTGAAGCGTCTGTAACGCTTCGATTTCCCGAGCCGCTGATTGATAATCGTGGATTTCTTTGAGAGCGACGGTGACAGAATCGGATCTCCGTCGAGCTTTGTATACATCGGAATATGCTCCGGCGCCGATCCTGTTGAAGATTTCGTATTTTACGGTGATCTCTTTTCGGGTATGGATGCTCCAGCTCTTCGTTGATGGAGGATCCATATTATTTTTTCTTCTATGTTGAACTGCAAAAGGAAAATTTTGATTATTATTTTTGACTTTTAAAGAAGAAGATGATGATTGGTTATGTCACGTGAGTTAGAGTCATTGCACATGCCTAGTTTTAATAACAACAATTATTGAAGTGTAGTTTATTCGCGGGTTAGAAGCTAAGTTATTCATGATATCATGTTCGGTAGGTTTTTTTCTTGCTATATAGAAAATGTAATATATTCAATATGATGTTTGATTTGCAATTTAGAAACTCGCTTATTAATACTTACATGTATAAGTATAATGACTTTCGTGGTCATTTTTACGTATTTTTATTGATTTCCCCCTTTTTGTAGCTTTTGTGTGGTGTTGGCTATGGGGTTTTGGCTTGCCTACTTGGAGGTTGTGATAGACGTCATTATAGCCCGATTTCGAGTTGTGACAATAAGTTTTACAAGGAAATCTATGTGTTGTTTTATATAAGGTAGAAAATGAAATAAGTTACTAAACTTTGCTTAACTAAACTGGACACTATTATTTTTGAGACTAACTAAAGAGAAGAAAGTTTCATATGAATTGGGACACATGAAGTATTCATTTAATAAAAAATAATGTGGGATAGTGAATTTTTTGCCCTTGGTACCTTTTGTTTCAGTTGTTCAGTTAAGGATCTTTATACATATAGTCAATCGAATTTACTGTTTAATTTTTATAATCGATCTACATGAATTATACATGATATTCAGACCCAAGTCTAACATTATTCTAAAGGAGTAATTTTTCAAGAACATATTTTTAAAAATAGGAACAAAATCTTAACAATGGCGTAGAAAAGGAACAATTGCTTTTAAATTTTGGCTCTATAACAAAGAGAAAGAAGAAAATAATTATCTAAGGCTATTGCTTAGTAGTAATCTTTGGGATTTTGTTTCTTTACATATTCTTCTCAATCCTAATATTTTCGCGTCTGTGTCAGATTTTCCAAAAAAAAATGAATGAGCTTTAGAGAATCTGAAACAAAACTGACAATATTTTTGAATGAATCCGAGCAACATAAATTATCATACACATATCAATGAGGGAATCAACAAATTCCCTGTGCTTTTATACATCTAGTTTATGGTACAAAACAGATGCTATATGAAGAACAACTTTGCCTAAGCCATATAAAGATATTTCAAATCATCAAGTAGAAAATGCTAATTTCCTTCTGATGCCACCACCACCAACAACTTGCATCAACCAACTACGCCTCAGTCCCAAGCTCGTTTTAATAATCTTATGAAATAATATAACACGAAATCCACCTAACGTTTTGCTAAACAGCATCACAACCTCCACATACGATCCCCCTGCTATCGGAGAGAAATGAGACGTTAGATAATGAACAAGTTGGAGATAGAGAATCAACATCTGTGGAAAATTTTCATGTTGTAAATACATTGAGACAGTTTTGAGAGCTGTTAAAAGCCTTGTTATTAGTGAGTTCAACAATGTCTTAAAAGTCTCTGTCATTATCAAGATTTTGGTCCTCTAACTAATAGCTATGTTGCTCGGACTCTTCCAAAATGTCACCAATGTGTGTTGGATCCTCAAAAAGTAGTACATTTTCGGAGAGTATGTGCACATAGCTAACCAGACAAAATTGAAGTAGCAAACATTGATAAGTAGCTTTCACAGAATCAGAAAATGTTTTCACTTACACAATTGAGCAGCCTGTGCTTCTGTGCCTTTTCTTACTTGAAACCTCCAGCCTCCTAGGAGGTTGAAGCACAACCTTGATTGCAGTATCGAAAACAGCTTTCACATTCTGACAAACACATACAAAATACTTTAGTGAACAGACGATATGTTCGATAACAACAACAACAACAAGATATCCAGTGTAATCCCACAAGTGAGGTCCAGAGAGGGTAGAGTGTACGCAGACCTTACCCCTACCTCGTAGAGGTAGAGGTAGAGAGGTTGTTTTTGAAAGACCCTTGGCTCAAGTGAAGCAAATCAAAGTAGTTATGAAAAAGGAGATATGATAACGGATAAAACAGGCCAATTAATACGGAAAGCAGTACAGGGCATCAAGAAAAATAATAGTAACAACAACGAAATAATGCAGTAACTAAAACACAAATGATAACAGATGGTAACAAATATCAAAAGCCAGAAACTACATGTATAAGGCTAATACTATGACGATATGTTCAACAACAACGTTCCTATATAATAGCTAAAAAACGTCTAGCAGATGACGTGTACTTGATGAAGCTGAATGCATTCCATATCTAAGGTTAGTTTGCAGCAGAATTGAAGTACCTGTTGTGTTTTAGAGCTGCATTCTACATAAGCTGCAGCACCGATTTGTTTCCTTAGCTCCTCACCCTGCATTCAAGCTAATCGAGTTATTTGTGATGTTCCATCTATATCAAGCGTTTTACAAATCATAATGCTATATAGCGATAACACACTTGGGCAGGTGTAATGATATTTGAACCCATATGATCAGCTAGATGTCCGTTGTCATCTCGAAGATCTGTACATATAAGAAAACATATGGACACGAAGTCTCAGGTTCTGATCTTAGGGGATCGAATACAGTAAAATCCGATAAAATTTGAATCCATTTTGATACTTACCTAACTTTGTTCCAACAAGTACAATTGGAACATCAGGTGCAAAACGACGAAGTTCAGGCATCCACTGCATATAATTCAGAGTAAACAGAGTAACTACTCAATAATGAAATTGCAAATGTGACCATATGTTTGTTCAACGAAAAGACAGCAAACCACTATGAAGGGAAAAGGGTCAAAAATATCGCTCTACTATATGAAATATCTCAATTTACCCCACGTTATACTTTGAGGCCGTTTATACTCTTGCCATTAGCAAATCCTCTTGTACTTCATCGGATCTCCAACACGTATCAAAATACCTTAGGAAAAAGGTTCAAATGTATCCCTTTACTTCTCTGATTATGATTCGGAATATTTCAGGTTGGAGGTCCGTTAAGACCAAGGGAAAATGAAAAAGGATTTGCAAACAAGTGTATGAAATATGAATGTCCAAAAACAACAATAACAACAACGACATATTCAGTATAGTCCCACAAGTGGAGTCTCGAGAATGGTCCAAAGTACTAAAGGATGATAAATGAAGACACTTAGTACAATAAATTAAGATTGTATACCTTTTTTAGAACATTTTCATAGCTTGCTCTACTGATTAAAGAGAAAGCTAATACAAATACATCAGCACATCTATAGCTTAATGGCCTTAATCTGCTATAATCTTCTTGACCTTTAAAAACACACACAAAAATAAAAAAATCCATAAGATAATAGTACTAATTAAGCACACAAACAAAGATTAAGAACCTAATAAATCTATTTAAAGAAAAAGTACCTGCAGTGTCCCATAATCCCAAATTGACAATTCTTCCATCCATAGACACATTAGCACTGAAATTATCAAACACAGTAGGAATATAATCCTGCAAAAAATACAACAACATATTCAGTATAATCTCACAAGTGAGATCTGGGAACAAAAGTAGTTTCGAAAAAAAGAAAAAACATGCTAGAACTCCTATATTCTTAAAAAGTAACAATAACTACAACAAAATAAGACGATTATTAGTATTACCACTACAGGTATGGAAGAATAAGCGAAACAACACTCAACTACCTAACTAACCTTTTACTCTAATTTATATCCTCTATAGCCTCTTATCTAACGTCATGTACTCATCAACTAAAAAAGGATCTTTAAGACTTTTTTCTAGTAATAAGAGTGCAATATGTAATATGTAATGCGTAAGTCAGACGCACGTCACATTTTAAAAATCTTAACAAAAGCCTAATAATTAATTTTGAGAAGCCTAACGGAGTTAGTTCATTATTTATCAAGTTTCGAACCGTTGGGAAGAAATTAAAGAATTAAAACTTACAGTGGGAAATCTGTTACTTGTGTAACAAATTAACATACATGTCTTTCCAACAGCTCCATCACCTACAGTCACACATTTGATGAACTTTGAAACATTCATATTCAAAAAAAAAAATTGAAAAAAATTAAGTCTTTTCTAAAGAAGGATTTCAAGAAAGGAAGAAAAAACAAAAGTACTACTATAGATGTTTTTACTCTTCTTCTTTTTTTGTGTGTATTTCAAAAAGAAAACATTAAATAAAGAGAGGGTTTATTAAAGTTTTGTCAATAAATTTGAATTTTTTTGAGATGATAGAAATAATGATTATTTTTTGTTGAAAGATGGGACCATGTTTTACTAACGGCTAAGAACGACTTTTGTGGCGAGTTTGGCGATAACTAGCTGTATTCATTTGGCTGTTTCTCACTTGAATTGATACGATATTAGGGTCCGATTAAATTTAAATTTGTTCTGAAGTAAGTGTTCCTAACTAATGTGATTTCGTAATCAGATCAATTCGAACCCAACACCTTTGATAAAAGAATATTTATCACTTTATTAGAACCAACTTTGTTAGTAGTTTTGTCATGCACGTTGAAGAAATGTATGACATACTTTTCCTGCTCCAATTAATGTGACATAGTCTGAATTGCAGAAAATTTAATATTGTAACGAAGACTTTTAGATTCTATACTCTTAAACATATCATGGTATTTGTGTGACTATAACTCTATAAGACACTTAAAACTTATGATTTTAAACACGTCATAACATTTACGTGACAATAACAACTTCTCGTAAATAATAAAGTAAAAACCATAAAGTTAATTGTTTTCAAATTCAAAATTAAACGTAAGTTTCTAAAAGCATAAAAGAAAAGGAAAAACATATAGAAAGGGTCAAACATGTTTTTTTTAAAAAAGATCTTTACCTAAATAGCCGAACAGATTTACTGTTTATAACATGATCAGTATACATAAATTATACATTCACTTTGATTGAAAAAAAAACTATAACATAACAATCTCTCCTTTCTTTTCAACTTGATCTTCCTCCCAAATTCTTTTATCTTCATCAGATCCATAAGCCCAAGCACACACAATAAAATAGAAAAAATTTCCAACACTCAACAAACAAAGTACCCAATAATAATAATCATAATGACCTAAATTCAAATTATTTGACACCCAACTCACTTTCCCTCCTCTACTTGAAACATGATCAACAATTTCCACAATTAAACTTCCAATCAAATTCCCAAATCCCATTCCTAATGAAAACAATGCCACTCCAATACTAGCCATACTCTTAGGAAATTGTGAATAATAAAATTCTATTTGTCCAATCGCGTTGAACGCCTCAGCTAGTCCTGTCAAACAATGTTGCGGGACTAGCCACATTGCTGACATGTCCACTTGTGACAGTGGATGGTCCGCGAGCCCCTCGTCTAGGGGGC